GCGTGCCAGCGCAAGGGTTGGCGTCGCGGTTGCGTCACAGCGCAGGCTTGCACTGTGGCGTCATGGTTGCATCGCAGCATAAGGGTTCGCGCTGCGGCGTCACGGTTGCATCACAGCGCAGGCTTGCGCCACGGCGTCGCGGTTGCGTCGCAGCATAAGGGTTTGCACCATGGCAACACAGTTGCGTCACAGCATTACGTTTGCATCGCAGCACAGGTTTGCATGACGGCATCACATTTGCATCACAGCGCAGGCTTGCGCCGGGGCGTCGCGGTTGCGTCGCAGCATAAGGGTTTGCACCATGGCGGCACGGTTGCATCGCAGCGTCACATTCGCGTCGCGGCACAGGTTTGCATGACGGCATCACATTTGCATCACAGCGCAGGCTTGCGCCGGGGCGTCGCGGTTGCGTCGCAGCATAAGGGTTTGCACCATGGCGGCACGGTTGCATCGCAGCGTCACATTCGCGTCGCGGCACAGGTTTGCATGACGGCATCACATTTGCATCACAGCGCAGGCTTGCGCCGGGGCGTCGCGGTTGCGTCGCAGCATAAGGGTTTGCACCATGGCGGCACGGTTGCATCGCAGCGTCACATTCGCGTCGCGGCACAGGTTTGCATGACGGCATCACATTTGCATCACAGCGCAGGCTTGCGCCGGGGCGTCGCGGTTGCGTCGCAGCATAAGGGTTTGCACCATGGCGGCACGGTTGCATCGCAGCGTCACATTCGCGTCGCGGCACAGGTTTGCATGACGGCATCACATTTGCATCACAGCGCAGGCTTGCGCCGGGGCGTCGCGGTTGCGTCGCAGCATAAGGGTTTGCACCATGGCGGCACGGTTGCATCGCAGCGTCACATTCGCGTCGCGGCACAGGTTTGCATGACGGCATCACATTTGCATCACAGCGCAGGCTTGCGCCGGGGCGTCGCGGTTGCGTCGCAGCATAAGGGTTTGCACCATGGCGGCACGGTTGCATCGCAGCGTCACATTCGCGTCGCGGCACAGGTTTGCATGACGGCATCACATTTGCATCACAGCGCAGGCTTGCGCCGGGGCGTCGCGGTTGCGTCGCAGCATAAGGGTTTGCACCATGGCGGCACGGTTGCATCGCAGCGTCACATTCGCGTCGCGGCACAGGTTTGCATGACGGCATCACATTTGCATCACAGCGCAGGCTTGCGCCGGGGCGTCGCGGTTGCGTCGCAGCATAAGGGTTTGCACCATGGCGGCACGGTTGCATCGCAGCGTCACATTCGCGTCGCGGCACAGGTTTGCATGACGGCATCACATTTGCATCACAGCGCAGGCTTGCGCCGGGGCGTCGCGGTTGCGTCGCAGCATAAGGGTTTGCACCATGGCGGCACGGTTGCATCGCAGCGTCACATTCGCGTCGCGGCACAGGTTTGCATGGCGGCATCATATTTGCATCACAGCACAGGCTTGCGCCGGGGCATCACAGTTGCATCACAGCATGAGGGTTTGCACCATGGCAACGCGGTTGCGTCGCAGCGTCACGTTCGCATCGCAGCACAGGTTTGCATGACGGCATCACATTTGCATCACAGCACAGGCTTGCGCCGGGGCATCACAGTTGCATCACAGCATGAGGGTTTGCACCACGGCGGCACGGTGCGTCGCAGCGTCACGTTCGCATCGCGGCACAGGTTTGCATGACGGTATCACGTTTGCATCACAGCGCAGGCTTGCGCCGGGGCATCACAGTTGCATCACAGCATGAGGGTTTGCACCACGGCGGCACGGTGCGTCGCAGCGTCACGTTCGCATCGCGGCACAGGTTTGCATGACGGTATCACGTTTGCATCACAGCGCAGGCTTGCGCCGGGGCATCACAGTTGCATCACAGCATGAGGGTTTGCACCACGGCGGCACGGTGCGTCGCAGCGTCACGTTCGCATCGCGGCACAGGTTTGCATGACGGTATCACGTTTGCATCACAGCGCAGGCTTGCGCCGGGGCATCACAGTTGCATCACAGCATGAGGGTTTGCACCACGGCGGCACGGTGCGTCGCAGCGTCACGTTCGCATCGCGGCACAGGTTTGCATGACGGTATCACGTTTGCATCACAGCGCAGGCTTGCGCCGGGGCATCACAGTTGCATCACAGCATGAGGGTTTGCACCACGGCGGCACGGTGCGTCGCAGCGTCACGTTCGCATCGCGGCACAGGTTTGCATGACGGTATCACGTTTGCATCACAGCGCAGGCTTGCGCCGGGGCATCACAGTTGCATCACAGCATGAGGGTTTGCACCACGGCGGCACGGTGCGTCGCAGCGTCACGTTCGCATCGCGGCACAGGTTTGCATGACGGTATCACGTTTGCATCACAGCGCAGGCTTGCGCCGGGGCATCACAGTTGCATCACAGCATGAGGGTTTGCACCACGGCGGCACGGTGCGTCGCAGCGTCACGTTCGCATCGCGGCACAGGTTTGCATGACGGTATCACGTTTGCATCACAGCGCAGGCTTGCGCCGGGGCATCACAGTTGCATCACAGCATGAGGGTTTGCACCACGGCGGCACGGTGCGTCGCAGCGTCACGTTCGCATCGCGGCACAGGTTTGCATGACGGTATCACGTTTGCATCACAGCGCAGGCTTGCGCCGGGGCATCACAGTTGCATCACAGCATGAGGGTTTGCACCACGGCGGCACGGTGCGTCGCAGCGTCACGTTCGCATCGCGGCACAGGTTTGCATGACGGTATCACGTTTGCATCACAGCGCAGGCTTGCGCCGGGGCATCACAGTTGCATCACAGCATGAGGGTTTGCACCACGGCAGCGCGGTTGCGTCGCAGCGTCACGTTCACGTCGCGGCACAGGTTTGCATGGCGGCATCATATTTGCGTCACACCGCAGGCTTGCGCCGGGGCATCGCGGTTGCATTGCAGCATAAGCGTTTGCGCCGTGGCATCGCGGTTGCGTCACAGCGCAAGCTTGTGCCGCAGTATTGCGGTTGCGTCGCAGCATGAGGGTTTGCACCACGGCAGCGCGGTTGCGTCGCAGCGTCACGCTCGCGTTGTGGCACAGGTTTGCATGACGGCATCACATTTGCATCACAGCGCAGGTTTGTGCCGGGGCATCACGGTTGCGTCGCAGCATGAGGGTTTGCACCACGGCAGCGCGGTTGCGTCGCAGCGTCACGCCCGCGTTGTGGCACAGGTTTGCATGACGGTATCACGTTTGCATCACAGCGCAGGCTTGCACCGGGGCGTCGCAGTTGCATCGCAGCATACGCTGCACCGGGGCATCGCGGTTGCGTCGCAGCGTCACGCCCGCGTTGTGGCACAGGTTTGCATGACGGTATCACGTTTGCATCACAGCGCAGGCTTGCACCGGGGCGTCGCAGTTGCATCGCAGCATACGCTGCACCGGGGCATCGCGGTTGCGTCGCAGCGTCACGCCCGCGTTGTGGCACAGGTTTGCATGACGGTATCACGTTTGCATCACAGCGCAGGCTTGCACCGGGGCGTCGCAGTTGCATCGCAGCATACGCTGCACCGGGGCATCGCGGTTGCGTCGCAGCGTCACGCCCGCGTTGTGGCACAGGTTTGCATGACGGTATCACGTTTGCATCACAGCGCAGGCTTGCACCGGGGCGTCGCAGTTGCATCGCAGCATACGCTGCACCGGGGCATCGCGGTTGCGTCGCAGCGTCACGCCCGCGTTGTGGCACAGGTTTGCATGACGGTATCACGTTTGCATCACAGCGCAGGCTTGCACCGGGGCGTCGCAGTTGCATCGCAGCATACGCTGCACCGGGGCATCGCGGTTGCGTCGCAGCGTCACGCCCGCGTTGTGGCACAGGTTTGCATGACGGTATCACGTTTGCATCACAGCGCAGGCTTGCACCGGGGCGTCGCAGTTGCATCGCAGCATACGCTGCACCGGGGCATCGCGGTTGCGTCGCAGCGTCACGCCCGCGTTGTGGCACAGGTTTGCATGACGGTATCACGTTTGCATCACAGCGCAGGCTTGCACCGGGGCGTCGCAGTTGCATCGCAGCATACGCTGCACCGGGGCATCGCGGTTGCGTCGCAGCGTCACGCCCGCGTTGTGGCACAGGTTTGCATGACGGTATCACGTTTGCATCACAGCGCAGGCTTGCACCGGGGCGTCGCAGTTGCATCGCAGCATACGCTGCACCGGGGCATCGCGGTTGCGTCGCAGCGTCACGCCCGCGTTGTGGCACAGGTTTGCATGACGGTATCACGTTTGCATCACAGCGCAGGCTTGCACCGGGGCGTCGCAGTTGCATCGCAGCATACGCTGCACCGGGGCATCGCGGTTGCGTCGCAGCGTCACGCCCGCGTTGTGGCACAGGTTTGCATGACGGTATCACGTTTGCATCACAGCGCAGGCTTGCACCGGGGCGTCGCAGTTGCATCGCAGCATACGCTGCACCGGGGCATCGCGGTTGCGTCGCAGCGTCACGCCCGCGTTGTGGCACAGGTTTGCATGACGGTATCACGTTTGCATCACAGCGCAGGCTTGCACCGGGGCGTCGCAGTTGCATCGCAGCATACGCTGCACCGGGGCATCGCGGTTGCGTCGCAGCGTCACGCCCGCGTTGTGGCACAGGTTTGCATGACGGTATCACGTTTGCATCACAGCGCAGGCTTGCACCGGGGCGTCGCAGTTGCATCGCAGCATAAGGGTTTGCACCACAGCGTCGCGTTTGTATCGCAGCACAGGTTTGCACCGCGGCGTCGCATTTACATCACAGCACAGTCTTGTGCCGCAACGTCGCATTTCTGCCGCAGTGCACGTTTGCGCCGCAGCGTCGAATTTGCACCGCAGCATCACGTTCGTGTCGCAGCGCACGTTTGTGCCGCAGCATCGCGTTTGCACCACAGCGTCGCGTTTGTGTCACGACACAGGTTTGCGCCGCAGTGTCGCATTCGCGTCGCAGGTCAGCCTTTGCATCATGGTGTCACATCTGCGTCGCAGCGCACCTTTGCGCCACAGTGTGGCGTTTGCATCAGAGCGTCGCAGTTGCATCACAGCACAGCTTTGCGCCGCGGCGTCGCATTTCCATCGCAGCGTGGGTTTGCACCACAGCGTCGCATTTCCATCATGGCATCACATTTGTGTCGCGCCCCAGGTTTGCACCGCAGCGTCACATTTGCGTCATGACGCGGGTTTGCACCACAGCGTCACATTTATGTCGCAGCACAGGTTTGCACTGTGGCATCGCGTTTCCTGGCTCAGGCTCGCGCCACGGCGTCGTGTTTGCATCGCAGCACAGGTTTGCACTGTGGCATCGCGTTTCCATCATGGCATCATGTTTCTGTCGCAGCACAGGTTTGCATCACAGCGCAGCTTTGCGTCACGGCGTCGCATTTGCACCGCGGCTCAGGCTCGCGCCACGGCGTCGTGTTTGCATCGTGGCACAAACCTGCGCCGCAAGGCCACGTTTGCGTCACAGAACAGTTTTCTGCTGCAATGTCGCATTTCCGTCGCAGCACAGGTTTGCATCACAGCGCAGCTTTGCGTCACGGCGTCGCATTTGCACCGCGGCTCAGGCTCGCGCCACGGCGTCGTGTTTGCATCGCAGCACAGGTTTGCACCGCGGCGTCGCATTTACATCACAACACAGTCTTGTGCCGCAACGTCGCATTTCTGCCGCAGTGCAGGTTTGCGCCGCAGCGTCGAATTTGCACCGCAGCATCACGTTCGTGTCGCAGCGCACGTTTGTGCCGCAGCATCGCGTTTGCACCACAGCGTCGCGTTTGTGTCACGACACAGGTTTGCGCCGCAGTGTCGCATTCGCGTCGCAGCTCAGCCTTTGCATCATGGTGTCACATCTGCGTCGCAGCGCACCTTTGCGCCGCAGTGTGGCGTTTGCATCAGAGCGTCGCAGTTGCATCACAGCACAGCTTTGCGCCGCGGCGTCGCATTTCCATCGCAGCGTGGGTTTGCACCACAGCGTCGCATTTCCATCATGGCATCACATTTGTGTCGCGCCCCAGGTTTGCACCGCAGCGTCACATTTGCGTCATGACGCGGGTTTGCACCACAGCGTCACATTTATGTCGCAGCACAGGTTTGCACTGTGGCATCGCGTTTCCATCATGGCATCATGTTTCTGTCGCAGCACAGGTTTGCACCGCAGCATCGCATTTGCGTCACAGCGCAGGTTTGCGCCACAGCATCGCGTTTTGTCACATTTGTGTCGCAGCCCAGGTTTGCGCTGTGGCATTGTGTTTCCATCGTGGCCTCACGTTTGTGTCACAGCCCAGGTTTGCGCACTGTGTCACATTTGCATCACAGCGTGGGTTTGCACCACAGCGTGATGTTTGTGTCACATGGCCAGGCTGAATCCGTGGGACCTGGCCAGGCTGGATCCATGGAACATGGCCAGGCTGGATCCGTGGGACCTGGCCACGGCGCGGGTTTGCACCGCAGCGTCGCGTTTCCATTGTGGCATCACATTTGTGTCGCACCCCAAGTTTGCGCCGCAGCGTCACATTTGCATCATGACGCGGGTTTGCACCACAGCGTCGCGTTTGTTTCACAGCCCAGGTTTGCACTGCAGCGTCGCATTTGCGTCACAGCGCAGGTTTGCGTCACAGCGCGGGTTTGCATCGCCGCGTCCCGTTTGCATCGCAGCATACGCTTTGCATTGCGGCGTCGCATCGACCTTGCAGCGCACATTTGCGCCGCAGCATGGCATTTGCATCACAGCGCAGGTTTGCGCCACAGCATCGCGTTTGCACCACATCGTCGCGTTTGTGTCATGACACAGGTTTGCGCCGCAGTGTCGCATTCGCATCACAGCTCAGGCTTTGCATCATGGTGTCGCATCTGCGTCGCAGCGCACCTTTGCGCCGCAGTGTGGCGTTTGCATCAGAGCGTCGCAGTTGCATCACAGCACAGCTTTGCGCCGCGGCGTCGCATTTCCATCGCAGCGTGGGTTTGCACCACAGCGTCGCATTTCCATCATGGCATCACATTTGTGTCGCGCCCCAGGTTTGCACCGCAGCGTCACATTTGCGTCATGACGCGGGTTTGCACCACAGCGTCACATTTATGTCGCAGCACAGGTTTGCACTGTGGCATCGCGTTTCCATCATGGCATCATGTTTCTGTCGCAGCACAGGTTTGCACCGCAGCATCGCATTTGCGTCACAGCGCAGGTTTGCGCCACAGCATCGCGTTTGCACCGCAGCGTCGCGTTTGTGTCACGACACAGGTTTGCGCCGCAGTGTCGCATTCGCGTCGCAGCTCAGGCTTTGCGTCATGGTGTCGCATCTGCGTCGCAGCGCACCTTTGCGCCGCAGTGTGGCGTTTGCATCAGAGCGTCGCAGTTGCATCACAGCACAGCTTTGCGCCGCGGCGTCGCATTTCCATCGCAGCGTGGGTTTGCACCACAGCGTCGCATTTCCATCATGGCATCACATTTGTGTCGCGCCCCAGGTTTGCACCGCAGCGTCACATTTGCGTCATGACGCGGGTTTGCACCACAGCGTCACATTTATGTCGCAGCACAGGTTTGCACTGTGGCATCGCGTTTCCATCATGGCATCATGTTTCTGTCGCAGCACAGGTTTGCACCGCAGCATCGCATTTGCGTCACAGCGCAGGTTTGCGCCACAGCATCGCGTTTGCACCGCAGCGTCCCCCTGCCCAGTTTTGGGGGGGAAAATAGAAAATGCGGACTGCAAAAATAGCATTTTCCTGTATTCCACGTTGTCGCCGTGCCGTTGCAGAGCAAGGAGGCAAAAATAAAAGCGTTTCGGGTCATTGCTATCTCATTTTGGGGTGAGATGGTCACTATTTGGGGAGAAAAAAGAAAGAAAAAGCAGATTGCAAGGAGAAGAGAAGACCAAGCCGCCCTAGGCCTGGCATGGTGGGACATCGGTGATGGGCCAACACTCTGTGACGCCAGCCCGGACACCCACCACCGCCCGGCTGCGAATCCACCCCGTCACAGCCACATGGTGAGGTCGGCCATGGTCAAAATCCCGGGTCAGTCGCGCACTGAAGGGGATGTGGACATCCAACCGCCGTCCCTCCAGGGCCACCGCGCACCCCGTCCGGGGCTGGACCTCCGTCTCCACCACGTGGGTATGGACAACGTACTCGCTGATGCTGGCTCCCCCTACCCAGGGGATGCTGGTGATGTTGGTGACCTCCCAGCCCGTCCCATTGAAGGCCAAAAGGGCAGCTTGCAACACTCCACGGACGGTGCTGAAGACCCTCTGGTCCATCTCCCAGTCGTGGGCCATCTCAGTGGCCTCCTCCAAGGTGACAGCTTCCCGCAGCCCTTGGCAGCCCTTGTTTGTCACCGTGGTCTTCATCAAGGTGACGTCCTCCCCGCGCTCCACCGCCCCACTCATGTTGTAGCGGACATCAGAGATGGTGATGTCTGCCGGGCCCTTCTTGACCACCAAGACTTGGTACCACTTGAACCAAACCTCCTCACCGTCCACCATCATGAAGGCAGCCCTCTGCACTTTGGCGACCTTGCCCAAGCCATAGCGGTTCCTCCCAATGAAGACATCAACGAGTGGGCAACCCTCCACGGCATTTTCGGGCACACTGCCAAAGGAATCATCCACCCAATCCAGTGCCTCAAAGCCTCCCACGTTGACCAACAACTTGAAGTCGCGGGTCTGCCGCTCCCATCCTCCGAACGGGTAGAAGCAGAAGGGACCTCGGGTGGGGACGTAGGCATCGGTGCTGCAGCCGCGCTGCCCCGTTGAGCAGATATACTCCATCCTCTTGGCGTAGTCATTCCAGTTGGAGACAGCATCAGGGGGCAGCTTGCCTTCGAAAGCCACCCACTTCAGGTACGAAGGTGGCTCTTCATCCCGCTTCTTCCGGGGAAGGCTCCAGCTGGAGGCTATGGGGAGAAACCGGGAGATTTTGGTGAAATGAGGCACCTCCATCCCGCCCCGCCACCTCTAAGCTGCCGGAGCAACGTCTTGCAGAGGCCCTGCTCGTTGGGGAAGCTGCCAGCGCGCGACGTCCCCGCGCTTGCCCTAGCGTGGTTGGCCAAGAAAATGATGAGTGAGATACCTCAACCAACGTCTCGTAAATTTGGCGGGGGCAAAGTGGAGACAATCCTGCTAAAAATGAGAAGAGTGGAGAACTTCATGCGTTGGAGATCACGCACTGGGTTTAAGCGGCCAGGGTTTGGGTTGGTGGGGGGGAGCTGCAGCAGCGACCTTTTGACGAAGAGTCATGGGGCTGACCCACGTTGGACACAACGAGGTCTAAGTGGCTTCCAAATGGAGCCACCACTGGCCAAACCTGAGGCCACCAGAGATGCTGGTGGTGCCTCTGTGACAACGTGGTTAAGAAAGGTTAAAAGATCTGTGAGAGGAGTGAGGAAGTGAGGGGAGGAACAACCCTGCAGACGCCGAGGTTGGTGGAGAAGGAGGGCAAGGAGCTGCTCCAGGCACCAGAGA